ATTAAAAATTAATGGCGATTTTTTAAACAAAATATTCTACATTTTTTAAAATGTGGCAATTTTTTCAAAAAATGGATACCTCAATTAAATTTTTTCTAATATTGTGTTAATCAATATATCATCCATATTTATATAAATATTATGTTGTTCCCAAACTTATCTATTGATATTAAATAATTGTCAAACATAACTATTGTAAATTCAGATGACCATAATACCTTTATAAATTGAAAAAAAAACCAAATCAATTTATGTGATTGGTTGTAATTAGTTTGTAAGGTTTGTACACCTCTACACACACATATATGTGTGTGTGTGTGTGTGTGTATATATATATATATAAACGGGAATGCTAACTATATAAGAAAATAAGAAAAATGTTGTTAATATACAAAATTATATATGATTCACACACACATACACACACGAACACAAAATCATACATGATTCACTCTCTCTCTCTCTCTCTCTCTCTCACACACACACACACATATATATATATATATATTCACGTATAAAATCATACAAGTTTAGAAGTCGTTCACTTTCATTTTTTTGACATTAATATAAAATCACACATGATTTTGTATATTAACTAGGGGTGAGCAGCGGAACCGGGTACCTGTTTGCGGAACCGGAACCGCCTTGGAACCGTCGGTTCCGGAACCTGAACCGATATGAGTGGTTCCGGTTCCGGTTCCTAAAATACGGAACCGATTGAGAATGGTTCCGGTTCCGGTTCCGGTTCTCAATTTTTCGGAACCGTTACCCGCCGGGTACCCGCCAAGACCGGTTCCGGGACCCGGTACCCGGAACCGGCGGGTACCCTGAACCGAACCGGCGGGTACCCAGTGTTTTTCAATAAAAAAATAATTAATTTTTTTTAATACCAAATTTATATTATGTTACATCTTCAAAGGACGTGATCATCTTCATTCTTCATCAACTTTCTAGTTCTACTAAACTACACTTCATAATATGTAATCGTTAAGTTTTGAACATTTACAATTATAGTATGTAATCGTTAAACTTTGAACATTTTCTATTAGTCTATTATGGTTTATAATCGTTAAACAATATTTGTAACCATTATTCYGTATAATTYGTATTCTTGTTTATTTAATTTAGTGTTTTGGCAATGTTTTATTTTTTATTTCTAAATAACAAAATTTTAATATTTTAGGAAGCGGGTACCCGGAACCGGAACCACCGGTTCCTGGCGGTTCCAGTTCCGGTTCCAAAAATTCAAGAACCGCTCTAACCGGTTCCGGTTCCGGTTTCAATATCTCAAGAACCGCCGGTTCCGGTTCCAGTTCCTGTCAAAAAGGGCGGGTACCCGCCTATGCTCACCCCTAATATTAACAACTTTTTGTTTTGTTAAATAGTTAATGTTTTCATTTTAACCTTCCTCTTTCTCTCTCTCTCTCTCTCTCTCTCTCTCTCTCTCTATATATATATATATATATATAGAGAGAGAGAGAGAGAGAGATGAGCGATCAAATGAAAACCACCCTCATTTGTAAAAATTGTACAAACCACTCTCATACGTCGATTTCATTGTTTAATCTTATGAAATTTTTTCATGAAATTGTTTAATCTTATGAAATTTTTTCATATAATACTTTTTTTGATGAAGTTGTTTCATATATGGTTATGAAATTGTTTCATATAATATTTAATAAAATTTTAAT